TTGATACTCATGCCTAAAGATGTGGCCCTGCAATTCAACTTCATTCAACAACTCTTATGGGCTGCTTCTTACTGCCCAAGAAAAATCTTCTAGACACTTCAGAATATAATGATAAGTAGAACACGGCCAAAGAAGCTCAAAGTTTTATCAACAGAGATAGAAACGGGGAATAAAAGGAGCAGAAAATAATTACTGAATAAACAGAGATAGAAACAGGGAATAAAAGGAGCAGAAAATAATCTTATATAATAAAAGTGTAATATGCAAATTGACCAAATGGCAGAACGACCAGTCGGCAGGGGGCAGGGCCAGCGAGCAACTGGCGGCAGCAGAGCCAAGGCCCATGCCAGTGGGCAGAGGGAGGGGACGGCGATGGGAGGGGGAGGAGGTGGCAGCAACCAGCAGCAGCAGAGGGGCAATGGCGGGGGGGAAAGGGGGTGCCAGCCTCTGATCTGCTGCCAGGTCAACTCCCGCAGAGGGAGACCAGACTGCAGGGAGCAGGCCTAAGCCATCAGTAAGACATCCCTTGAGGGCTCCCAGACTGTGAGAGGGCTCAGGCCAGGCTGAGGAACGGCCCCTCCCCAGTGCACGAATTTTCGTGCATTGGGCCTCTAGTTACTGAATAAACACAGAAAACTACAGTAATATAAAAGTCATATAAAAGAGAATGGACTAGATCCCCCAAGAAAAGTAGATATTAAAGGCACTGAAGTCTAGAAGAGAAAAAAAACATTTGTAGGCAAAGCTCACCAAATCTTCCTAGGAGAGACAGCACTTCAAGATGCAAAGACTTCCAACAAGTGAACGTGGAGTACAACAGATCAAAGGTTTAGAAACAAGAAAATTATGATCAGGATCAACACATTTCCAATCATGTGATACCCTCACAGAATAAGGTCAGAATGAGCGCTAACGCTGAAGCAGTAAGTTAAGACAAAGCTTTGAAATCCTAAACTAAAAGTTTAGACTTTATTTGGAAGGCATAGTGGAGCCAAGCCCATCACCTTTTTCCTAAAAACAACGCATCTTCCTAAGACAGGTTAATGTTAACAAGCTATGCAATGGAACAGGTGGGTTGAGGAAAGGAGTCACTGTGACAGAGAGAAGGCAAAGTCAAAAGAGGCAATAAGAGGAAGGAGAACAAAGGATGTGTGAAAATGTAAGATCATTGCACAAGCAATGATCATCATTTATTCACTAAAAATAAGAACAAATAATCATTCCTTCTCAAACATTCTTGATGGACAAAACATACTCTCTGAAAATAACAGTTGGTGGTACTAAGAATTCTTATAATATGAACAATCTATATTTACTTTTATGAACCACAGTTAATAGTATTTTGCTTTGTAAATAATTTTAAAAAGCAGTTCTATTTCACCATTTCTTTAAAAATAGAATATGATGATAATATTAACTAGGGGTATAAGAAAATGAGGCTTATTCTAACATTTCAAAATTCTTTCAAATGCCTTATCTCATTACATCCACATAAGATAGCTCTATGCCAAAGCCAGACATGCTCTTCTCTGACAAATATATGGAGGGTGAAGGTGAGTCCAGAATAAATCACAGTGATTTGCTCATGGAAGTAACAAGACAATGGGGACACTGGAACTGGAACCCAGATCTGTTAATTCCTAGTCAAGCTTAGCCCTACAGAAAATAATAAGACTACACTAAGGTAGCTTTCCAACACAAAACTAAACTGAGATATAGCTTGGGCCCAATGGCAATCATACAGAAGTCATCAGTACTGGGCGCTTCATTTTTGTTTTAACAGATGTTGATGTTCTTTACATATCCTGTATCATCAACCACTTCAGATATATGTTCAGATTCCCTAAACAATAGTTTAATTTAACAATGAATTCCACAACAGTTTTGTTTCACTCAAATAGAACATCTATCGATGTGCAACATGTGGGTGTCAATCAGTGATATCCATCCATCAACAGACACTTATTGAGTGCCTGTTGCATGCTAAAATTGTACTCTGCAAGGAGAGGAGTAAGTGGGGATACCCAGAATGAGTTAATATAAAATTTAAAAGACAAGAAATACTGATAGAAACAAATTAGCAGTACAAGACAGCATATGGTAGCCCACATGATACAATTCAAAGGAGGAAATTCCGTAGGAAAAAAGAAGGAATGATGGCTGTGGATCTTAGTACAAAAGACAAGAAGCAGAGCAATGAAGTTCACTTCCACCGAGTATAAAATAGACCATAAACTCAATCTTTCCAAGTTTCCTTAAGGACCCATAATCAACAAACAGGAGAGAGCTACATCCCTCTCTCCTGATATATATTTTTAATTTATCTTTATTGTTGAAAGTATTATAGATGTCCCCTTTGTTTGTGTGTTTTTACATCGATGCCCTTCACCCCGTGCCCCGCCCCCAAGCCTTCATCACTCTATTGCCTATGTCCATGAGTTATGCATAGCTATAATAATAAAAGCATAATATGCTAAATTAGATTGGACATCCTTCCAGATGACCTTCCAGATGAAGCTGAGGCTGTGAGGGAAGGCTGGGTCCCAGGTGCCAGAAGGAAGCTGATGCCAGCAGCCAGGGGACGGAAGGCCTACGCTTGCACGAATTTCGTGCATCGAGCCTCTAGTGTACATATAAGTTCCCAGATAATCATTCCCTTCCCAACCTCCACCCCTGCCTCATATTTTAAGCCCTCTAGTTTCTCTCTTCCATGGTTGGTTTGTTTCACCAAGGTCTTGATATTTTGCTATAATTGGAATATTCTGACACTGAAAAATAAACTGGGTTACATCTATGAAAGTACTTGTAAATGACTAAAAGAAGGGGGCAGGCACTGCTTTGGATGCTATGAGTTTAAAATAATTCACTGTACTTTGGCTGGGATGAAGCTCTTCATAATAAATCAATCTTCTCACAATTTAAATACATCGTCTATATACTGTGCCCCAAAAATAACAGACAACAAGCTTTCATCAGGTCTTATTCTTTTCCAAGTAAACATTTTGCTATCAATAACTAAATACAGTATTACCTTTCAAATAAAAAGGATAGCACGCAAGGATGAATGGGCCCAAGCTCCTGTGATATCCAGGGTTTAGCAGCCTTTACAGCTATGAACACTGAAGGGCAATATCCAGATTATTTCCAATAGGACCATCTGAATGAGTTACTGGTGGGCTGTGCAGGAGGTCAGGGGAGGCGTTTCACACAGCTTGCTTGGTGGTGATATGAGTCACGGTGTGAACAAATGATCAAATGTGTATGCGGGGATTAGGGATTTAGACACCGGTCACTGCATAGCCTCTGATCCCCTCCGAAATGTTAGAGTAAGTCCAAGTCCCTGGGCTGGCTTTCAAGCTCGGCCTAACAATCCATTTCTTCAGCAACTCAGGACTGATACGGAAGCTTACATCCTTCATAAATCTAAATTAATCCTCAGCTGTAATCCCCAGCTGGTTGACAGACAACTCGGGAGTTTCAGCCACATGTTTAGTGAATATTTAGAAGCCACACAAATCCTAGTTTACCTGCCTGTCACCCTTCCTCCTTGTAACAGAGTTTTTCTACAAATTGATTTTCGAGATGAAAATTCACTGCTGCTTTGGATCAATGAATGTCCCCCAAGCATGGGGGGCGGGGCGTGGGGTGCCATGGAGGCTGGTGGGCTCCTCCCTCACCACTGCAGAAAGGGAGCTGCTCTGACTCACTGGGCTCCTGGGCGCCCATTTCCCCCTTTTCTCCAACAACCAATTTTTGTTGTTGTCTTTTGGTGGGAGGGGGTGTTGTCTGCTTGTTTATTTTGATCTTCCTCTTTCATGTTAAAGGCACTCAACAAATGACTAATATCCTTGAAAGTCTCTAAGTGTGAGGCATTGACATTTGTTTGGAAGTTTTATGTGTGGCAAGATTTTGTGGCGTGGTGGGGTTCCCCTGACCATTGTATGTGCACGCTGGAGGAGGGCTACATTTCTTTTCTGTCTTCACTACCAGCTTACTATTGTTTCAGAAGAGATGAATGAAAAATCCAGGGGGTCGATCTGCTGTGGTAAATTAGAAGTCTTTGTTGCTAATTATTCATCTGAACGCATTTTTGCTAAGGAACGCATTTGGCCTCTATAATGGCAGTAGCTACTATGTCTTCGAGTGTTGGAGAATGATGACAGTTCTGAAAAATTTTTAAAGATGAAGATTCCTTGTGTTTTCTAAGTGTTCTGTAATTCCTTCATTTTTTTTTTCTATGCACCTTCTTCTTCCCACCTGAGTGGAGAGAAGAACTAATCTGCTCTGTGTTTCTGCTCTGTGCTTCACTGCTCCAACACCTGATGCAGTTTGAAGATAAGCCCCATGAAATGATAGCTATGAGTCAGCTAGGCA